CACATCATTTGATCATTTAATTTCTGCTCGATTTTCCAATTGTTTTTCAAAAGAGAAGCGTATGCAAATGCAATAAAAAGTAAATATCTAAAAAGTTTCATTTGAATCGGAGACTTAAACGTCTGACCCTCCCTTATCAAAAACGTTTCTCTTTTCTTCGACAAAATCTTATAATAATGGTAACATTTAATATATAATAAATTTTGTTATTTTGAGACGTTCTAAGGCTTCCCTCACAGTGGAAGCGTGTACATGCGAACTGTGGTACGCATGAATACACAAGACTATGCACGTTCAATCCCAACTTCTGGCTTTAGATATATCCTCGAGGACTGATGCAGTCTGTAGTTATTGTGCGAGTATATATCTAAAACCAGCAATTGGGATTGACGCGGATAGTTGTGTGTACATGCTTCCATTGCGAGAGGTCTTACGGTTCCCAAAGTTTGACAGATTACTTTTAGGACACCCTGTGCATATGGCTGTGTTATCACCCTGTTTTTTACAAAATTCATTAACAATTTATTAAAATAACAGCCTCGCCTTATTTCTATTCTTTTAGGACACCCTATGTATATGGTTGTATTATCACCCTGTTTTTTACAAAATTCATTAACAATTTATTAATATAACACTAGTTAGCCTAAATTGATGAGAAAGAAATTTACATTTAATATTGAGATGTCGTCAAAGCTAAAATAAAAATTGAGAAGGCCAATTTGAAAGACAACATGCAAAGTTAAAGGCAAACTCTCTAATTACCTTATGAAAAACCTCAGTCAACATATATGAGGTTTTCTGTTTAATAGTAGGGAACTGTTCCCTACGTACTAAACAAAAGATAGCATCTACTGATTGGGCGCTCTGCACCATAGCAGCATGCGCTAAACATCGAATATGGGAATGTGGCTCAAGGTCAGTAGGTTCTAAAGGTTGTTTTTCTCAGATGGAGGCATAAATCATCTACTGGAGTCCCCCTCGATGATTAGATTTAAGTAAACTGGTGATTTCTTTTAATACCTTTTCTTTTTCCAGGGGTTTACTTTGACAATAGAGTAGAACACATTAAATTTGTAGATTTTTGTGGAAAATACCGTATTCCTCTGCTACAGTATCTATGCTCATTAAAGTGTGCAGTAACGAGAGAAGAGGTTTTCGACCGTCCTGCCAGATCGTACATGATGAAAAAAGTGTTATTGGGTTGAATTTGAAAATATACCACATATTTTTTTATATACTTTATTTTTTAAATAGTTTATATATGCAGTTTCAAGTAACATACAGTTAGCAAAAAATATATACAGCAAAAACAATTACCTAAAAAAAGAACTGATTTAAAATTGCACTATTATATAGGTATTTGATTCTAAATAAAATTACAGTACTTTTAAACACTAGCATTGGCTATATTAGCTATTCCCTTAGAAATCCTTAATTAATGAAGAAAAAATTACAAAAAAAATATATATACTTTGACGTTGTTACCTACAGAAACTTATTTACAAATGTACATACAAAAATGACTGTGACATGGCCTAAAAAATATTGGTCAATGACCACGTGATTAAATAGATAATTAAAATTTTTTAGTACTTTATTTTTTAACACCAAAAATTTACCATCACTTAAAAATAAATACAAAACCCTTTCCATATATCACATCTTACTATTAATACAACATAAACTGACAATACGTTTTAGAAATACAAGTAATGTATCATGGCAAACTCAGAACCACATATCTTTAAGAAATACTATGTTTTACTCAAGAAAATCCATGACATTTCTGCAGTGTTTTTATGGAAACATAAGCTATTACTTTTGATTTTTATTTTGTGTATTTTTTGTGTTCTACACCATTTTTAAAACAGTGCACAAATTTAACAAAATACTTTACCAAAACGTATAGGCAATAATTTTGTTCACATTAATTGTTGCAACTGAACAAAAAATAAAACAATAAAAACTAGTACCTACCTACATCATCCAGCCTTACTGAATTTTATAATGAAATGAATGCAATAAAGTTTGATTTTCTTAATGTTAAAATTGCAATTAAAAAACTTCCAGGTCTTATTGCATTAAAGTAATGTTTAAACCATTTAACATTTAAAATTGGATCAATCAAATAAAAAAACTAGTTTTAAATAGACATAATCCAGGTTTAGTGACAAATTCGGTAACTGCTAAGAAAGAAATTTTTATTCATCTTTAGAAGTTTACATAGAACGTATAAAACTTATCAGACTAGTCACTACCTCACGCACACATTACAAATTGTAGTTTTTATTCAGGGTTATAACCCATAATTAAAACTTGGACTAAAGTAAATAAGCAATTTTGACGATTTATTTAATAAAATGTTACAGAAAATAAATGCAAATATATTTTGAAAATTTAAGAAGTACAAATTGAGCTTTCCAGCAAAACCGAACAAATCCATTTTTCAAGAAAATTAAATTTGCTGCTGAAATGAAATCATTTTGTTAAAACATCATAATTTATACCTACTTGAGAAAAACCCAATAAATCCTACTAAATATTAGAAATCAATGGTTTCTCTCTTACAAAACCAAATAAATCCAATTTTCATATAATAAATAATAAATCCAAAAATGTTTAATAATAAGTTTATTAAAACTGAAAGTGTTTTTCATGTTATCTTGACTTTTGTTTTGTATAGTTAGCTCCTTTTGCATTCTTAGTATTTTTTTGGAGATAGAGTTTCCTTTTTTTCTTAATTTTAAAATACATTATTATTTTCTTTTAATATATTTCTTTTTGTATTTCTAATAAATTGCTATTTAATGCATTTAAAAAATTGCTATTTGTATTTTATTAATTTTACATCATGGTATTTCTTGCAAAACCGAATAAATCCAGCAGTTTCGATCAAAACCAAATTAATCCATTTTTGTTTATTTTGTTTCTTTCACATATAATTTTTCAGATTTCTTCTTGTAGAAAAAGACTTATTATAATGCCTTAAAAAGTATAAACTACCAAATTAAATGTAAAAGCTAATACTTTTTGTGCTATTCAAAAATCAACTTTTCCCTAAAATTTCTTAAAGTGGATTTATTCGGTTTTGCTGGAAACCTCCTTAATTCTTATAAAATTAAGCAGTAACATCAATTTTGCAAACTGAATAATATTTAATATGGTCAAAGCGATAATTTAAATCATACTCGTGCAAGTGGGCCTAAATCGGTTTTGTTTAAATTTAAATAGTCTTTAAAAACTGGCACAATATAAAAGTTTTACAAATCTGCACTTATCTGGTCTAAAAAAAAACTGTAATGATTTGGGTCTCCAAATACATAACAATCTGTTTTTATATACGCATAACATCTTTTCTATCCAGCTTTTTTTTGTTTTATAACATTGCCATGACAGTTTGGTGAATGATGTTTAAACATACAGATTTTTTTTTAAATTCCAGCTGATTAATAAGAATATTTGAAACAAGTTAAATTTACTATGCTAAAGAAAACCACATTATAAAAGCTGTTAAAAGATTAGAAGTGAGAGTCAATTTTTATTTGTTAGCATTATTACTAAGTCTAATGCCACCTATAGAGCTTTCAGTTGGGGCACATGGCAGAGTTAATCATGACACGACCCAGTGCTAAGTGAATGCAGAAAATGGTGTTTTCAATAGACGATAGTTTCTACCCATTTTTTCATATTAATCTACATGATTTTACGTGATAGTTCACCATAAACACTTTAATAAACCTGGTATTTTCGGTAATGATTTTCAGAATTTTCTGTAATTTTTTTTAGCAGTCTTGTCTTCTTTTGTTTTTTTAATTCTTTTAATAATAGTAATTTGGTAATGGACTAATATAGAAACTATTCCAATTAGATATTCCAGAATAATTTCTTTTGAAATTCTGGGACTGCATTGGTATTAATCATTAATTTAATATTGTAAATACATTGCAGTAATAGAGCATGTTAATTATATAAGAACAATAAACAATTTCACATGCACTCAATCGCTAACAGAGGTCACCACATCACAGTTTAATATTATTCTATAGTGGTGTTCCCCGGCGTTGCCATAGACATAATTAACAACAAATAGTTCTGTGCAGTAAGGAGTGCAATTGTGTATCTAAAGTATAATTGTTTACTTAAAATTATCGTGCTGTAATTATATTTGTTTGTATATTTCTTAAATAAGATTTTTGGGTGTGAAAAAAATGGGGAAGAAAAAAGTTGCACACCAGAAATTCGACAGGATATTTTAAATTTAATCAAGGAAAAGTGTTCTTAAGGACCAATAGTACATGTTAAATGTTCAAAAAGGATGCCATTTAATGCTGTTCAACATATAGAAAGAAATAAAACTGTACAAAATGGGCCAAGAAAGGCCAAACCTAGAAAATCTGTTAATCTTGATTGGCGAATGGGGTAGAATGGCAAAAGCGGGCTCCAAGAAAATAGCAGTTGACATTCACAAAGAATTGTTCTCTTATATTTGCCTAAATAATAAAACTTTTTATATATCGTTAATTATTTGTCCTATGCAGACTGGTCAGTATAAGGTAATTATTATTATTATTTTGTAATACGCCCAAAAAGTTAAATAAATTGCAGATTGATTCAATATAGGATGAGCCATAATTCTGTTTATGGGAATCAAGTGTAAATCAAAATATAGAAAGTTGATAAATTTTGCTAATTATGTGGCCACCACTGTATAAGTAAAAAATAAACCATGCACCCACTTACAATATAGTTACCATTATTTCATACTATGAAAAGATATTTCAGCGCAGGATTTTACATCAAGGATGCACTGAGCGACACTAGAAATTAAAATGTTTTCTTAACCACCCCTCAAGTTACCGAAGTAACTCTCAGAAAATCCTAGGATTTTGTGTTGAGTAAAGAGACGAGGCCCTACAGTTTATTGTGGAATCCGAACCACATCTAGGGCATCGACAGTTCTCTTCCATCTTAATCCGAAACAAATTACAAATAAAATTACTTGCTCCGGGATGGATTCGAACCATCGATATTGGGTACCGAGTCAATAGCTACAAGAGCTTTACCCACTCGGCTACCATACCCCTCTCTTTTTTTGTTTTCTTAAAATGTTTTAATTGTATGCATTATTTTACTTATTTTATTAATTTGCATCAGATATTTTGTCGTTTCACACGTGAAAGTACTATGTAAAATATAACTTTTTCACCATATGTTATCATTTCAAATCTCTCGGGTAGTGCATGAGTTTATTCACAATTTTGTAATTTCTGGTAATCTTCCCCACGTTACTGATATTTGGGGTTGTCAACTTTTCTAGCAGTAAGAAACAGATTTACAAGTACTCTTCTGGCATACTATCATATTGTCGCCTGAGAATCACATTGTTCTATGTCCATTCTGTAAATTGAGATTTTTGTAGTTCTAAATGGCATTTTGACGGGTCATCAAAAACCGGCATCAAGTCAAATAATCGGCCGAATTGAAAATGTATTTTTGGTCAAAATAGTAAAAAAATAGATTTAGAGAGGTGTGATACCTCCCTAAATTTGGAGTAGTTACGGTTTCTTGCTAAGTTGATATATTTTATGATGTACTTACATATTATATCGAGGGTGTCATGTCATAGAGCCGTAAACGCCAATATTAATGTTATGATTATATGCCCTCATAATGCACCCTCGATACGTGCAAAAAAAGATTAGTAGTGGCAGTACAAGACAACCATTCCCACTAGGCAAAATATCCTCTTATGAATGTTAAATAACAGACTTTTTATAACGATGTAACATCAGTTTAATAGTTGTATCAACATCGCCTTAACGTACTATAAAGTTCTTGTCAGGGTAAGCAAGATCTTCGCCTTCACGTTGTTTCAAGAAAATTGAAATAATCTTGTACTTTGAGCCTTGTGGTACTAAATTTTTTCAATGCAGATCAGTTTATCTTAAAATATGGACATTATAGGCCGAAAAACAAGCACGCCTCAAACTGATTTGAGTAGGACAAAAAATGTTGTCTTTTCATGGATACACAAATTTGAGTGATTTAACTATCAACACACAATGGTGTGATTACTTTACCGGTTTTAAATTGAAAGTAGCATAGAATGATCAGTATCTCCTAAATTCACAATTTTTTTTTTACTTTAATTTTTGTCAACATCAAAATGGCTTACAACAGTATGTATGTTCGTCCTCGAGCTTGTTTTGACAAAATGGAGGAGTTATGTCACAGAGATTGATGTTACAATTCTTATATTTTTAGATGTACTTTCTTATGAAAAAAATTTTCGTTGTATAAACTGCTTATGAGATCTGTTAAACCAACCATAACCATTTACATTATTTTAACGGAAATAGTAAAATGTAGTTTAAACCGAATGAAATTCTTGTTCGACATTCTAATAAAGAAGTGCAGATTAATCGATCTATTGATGTTGATATATTTTTAGATCAAGAAAATGTACATTGTGTAAACGTTATGTGATATTTCATGTTTAGTGGGTTTGTATTTGATTTTTTGTAATATATAATTAAAGTATCTACTATTGACTTGGTGGTGTAGACACAAGACCTAGGCCGGGCCAAGTCGATGAGATTATAGTGGATAGGCAAACCGGGTCATTGATGTTTCAGATATACCGTCCAATTCACCAAAATATCTTTGATTATGTTAGATATTTTAATTATTTTATTTTACATTCATCTCAGTTTCTTCAAATAAAGCACTTTTTAACATGTAAAGAATTTCATGACATTTTTAGTTATACTCTACTGAATACTCTGAACTATTTACAATAATTTAAAGATGAAAATGACTTTTTTGATCGGTCAATACAATGGTCAATAGAAAATAACTTATTCGCTTCACAACACAATTTAAAATTAGTTTTCTAAAAAGTGTGCCTTTTACCCAAAAAAAACTTTTCTTTGTTGGTCTAAAATAATTACATATATTTTTATTTTATGCTGAATAGGTTTAGAGTTTGACTCAGCGATTTTTAATTTTGTGATCTGATTTGTTACTAGTATTGTATTTGTAAAAAGAGAGAGCGAAGTCACCACCTTAGCTATACAATATGGTATTGGTTAATTGGGTTTTAATCATGGTTACAACCAATGAACCAACAAGTATAAAGGTGGTGGCTTCACTTCACTCTATTATGAATACTGCATAGTGCATATTTACTACTAGTAAACTAGTATATTTGTTAAATAAAGGAATGGCTAAAATTTGAATTTTTATTTCTTTGTCCAAAATAAAAATTTTGTTTATAATTTATTTTTTAAATACCAACTTTATTCAGGATTTATTTAACACCTATGTATTTGGTGTCAAAATGTTTGTCTTGTCTTCAGTAGTATTATAAAATATATATTTTTGACTGGATCAATGACTGGTCAAAAATAGTGGTCACAAAAATGTCTTGGTCAAAATATTTTTTGACGGGTTTAATTTACAACATTACAATAATTATTATAACATGCCCTGTAAAATTATAAAGGACACTGTGGTTCCCAGGCGACAATATATTGTCCCATGATTTCTTGTGCTGTTAATTTTTTTTCTGACATTTGTATTGGTATCATTGAATTGTTATTAACTTATAAATGTTATTAAAAGTTATACCAGTTGCAACTGTGAGTGGTGTCACCTTAACCTAAAATTTCAATAAGTGGGGAATAAACCTGTAGCATACGTTATCTTAAATACTGTTTTTGGCAAGCCCCTCAGGTGAGCATGAAAATTATTTTATTTTTAAAGAATAAAAAAACTGTTGTACTAATTTTTATTTAATTGTTAACATATCAACTTTGAGATACAGATTCAAAAAAAAAATAAAGTTTTATAAGAAACTACTCAAATGGATTCTGCACAAATTTTCTTCGCAAAAATTTCTGTTGCCAACTCTCATACGTGTCAATAATTATCAATACCAAAATTTGAGCTAAATTAATTACCGTTTAAATTTAACATATTTATTTTATCAATAAATTAATATAATCTCTCAATGGTTTCATTGAAACGTTAAAAAAAGATTGCTCAAAAGCTCTTTGTAACTGTTTTTACAATGGAAATATAGAAGGGATAAGAAATCTAGTTATGAAGCAAATAAAGTGGAACAAAGTAAGTATTTCTGAAAAGAAAATAATAAAACAAATATAAAAACTCCAACATTACTTTTTGATATACGTTGAACAAACTTTGCTTTTGAGCAATCTATTTCAACTTAACTAGCCTTAGAAAAACATGTACAAATTTATGTTGGAACAAATATCCAGTAAAAGAGAAGTGAATCCTAGAACCAATGAAATTAAACAATTATTAAAATAAGATGGCTACGATTGCATAAAAAAAAATACATTTTAAAATATTTGATATGTTATATTTGACTCTCTACTCTAGAGCATTTACTTTAATCACAAAAAAATATACCTTTAACAATTAATAATGTCATTCAATTAAATTAAATAAGAATATGTACAAATTATATACGGTATATGATAATATTTAAACTACAATACAATACATTTATTGGGTTGGTGCTTACGTTTTGGTAATATCCAACAAAAATTCAATAAAAAAAAATACTACTAGCGTAGAAGTCACTAAATGTAATTTTAATAATAAAATTTCTGTCGCTTAACAAAGAATTAAATTACACACTTTCACACAACAGTTTTTATATTAAAAAAAAATATATCCATAACATAGATGAGTGCATAAAAATTGAATTGATTTCTATTAAATTTTTCTAATTCCCATTTTTCTGGAGGCGTGGATTTGTGAAACGTATCAATGTTTTAAACACATTGCATTTCTTAAGCAGTAACGATGATTATTCTAAATTGTAGATTTTTCACTCAGTTTTAATTTTTATTTTCTAAAGCATAAGCTAGAAGTACACAAGAGTCTGGAGTATATATCTTATTCTTTTACTGGCTGGTTTTTTGTACAACTAATTCCCTAACCCAATCCCTCTTTTGACAGGTTGCCCTCTAAGTTGGAAGGAGCCGGACACATTTCAACAACAAACATTTTCATCAACATGATTTCCGCAAAATGGGAACAAATACTGCAAAATTGTTAAAACATTTGGAATTTTCTATAATTCAACAGGAAATCTATGCCATAATCTCACAATACTTTAATTTTAATGATACATTTTTTAATTCAACTCGGTAGCCCAATCATAGGAAAATTATTGAGTAAAAAAAAATTAACACAATATTCACATCATATTTCAAATTCCTTAAACATTAAAAATCCCCAAATTCGGAGGACTGTGTATAGCTATTATATTTTTTAAATAGACTCTATTAGTTGTGATGTCACATAATTATGCAACCTACGTACTATTGTCATGACACACCGGTTGCCTATATATAACACTGGAACATGACCTTTAAAATATAAAGACATTTTATGCGGGTTGAATGCGGCAAAAAATTTTATTTTATTTCTCCCTTGCAAGAAATATTTAAGAAATTTCAGTTACCATTTACAGAACATATTTGATTATGTACAATGTTCAACACATTTGAAAAATTCCATTATTGATTTAATAAATTAATATTAAAAATAGATTTAGTATCCACCAATAGAAATTACAATTTGTGAAAGTCAAATTGCACATATCAATTAGTTTGTGGCTACCCTCAAGTTGTTGACCCTCTTTTATTTTTATAAAATAACTTTGATTGATCGACTAACATTAGGAAAAAAAAACTGAAACATAATTATCTATTTCCCTAATAAGGTGCTACAATTTATTTTTTCAATTTTACATCCAATTTTATTAGTATGATCACACACCCTGGAGCAAATCATAAATCTATAGTTGAGTTACCAACCGTACTCTTTTGGAGCTAAAAACATAAGTACTCTAAATTTTCTGTTTTAAGCCTAAATGTACTCTTTTGCGATTAACAAAATCATGAAAACATTAAATAAATTTACTCAAAAAATTGTTCACACGAAAACGAAGGAGTCGACACTATCTGCAAGATAATTAATAAGTTACGCCATATGTTTGTCAAGACAGACATAGTTTATATTCTGTACTTTACAGATGAGATCT